TTGTAGATCTGCACAAGGCTGGAATGGGCTACAAGACCATCAGCAAGAAGCTTGGTGGGAAGGAGAAAACTGTTGGTGCGATTATTCGGAAATGGAAGAAATACAAAACAACCATCAATCGGCCTCGGTCTGGAGCACCGTGCAAGATCTCGCCTCATGGGGTAAGGATGTTCATGAGAAAGGTGAGGGATCAGCCCCAAACTACACGGGAGGAGCTTGTTAAGGATTTTAAGGAAGTTGGGAACATAGTCACCAAGCAAACCATTGGTAACACTATGCCGCAATGGACTGAAATCCTGCAGTGCCCACAAGGTCCCCCTGCTCAAGAAGGCACATGTACAAGCCCATTTAAAGTTTGCCAAAGAACATCTAAATAATTCAGAGATGGATTGGGAGAAAGTGCTGTGGTCAGAAGAGACCAAAATTGAGCTATTTGGCATTAATTTGACTCGCCGTATTTGGAGGGAAAGAAATTACCCCAAGAACACCATCCCTACAGTCAAGCACGGAGGTGGAAACATTAAGCTAAAATTAGCAGTGTTCTCTTCACCCTCCATATTTCAGCCATCTGAATGTTAAACAGCTCGATCAGCATTTAAACATCTCTGTGTCTGATGTCAACAACACTCGGTCTGCTCCTCCAGTTTGCCTCCTGTCGTGTGTGTGCGTCTCAGGCCAGCTGGACAGTCGCTCGGCCTTTAATTTTAGCAGTAAGCTTCACATTCACGCCGGTGTGATTAATTGAGCCGGGCTGACTGGGTTTTTTCTGGATTTTTTGGTTGGTATTCTGTCTCTATACATTAAAATAAACCTACCATAAAAATTACAGACCCTTCATTTCTTTTTAAGTGAGCAACTTACAAAATCAGCAGGGGATCAAATAAATATTTCGATTGGTTTTGCACCTGAGTCAGACCTGTTTGTTATTGCCTGAAGCGCAGGGCTCCACCGCAGAAGTTGAAAAGTGCCCGTCAAACGCCGGCTCGCTCTGTTTCTACATCGGCGCCTCTTTTGTCTTTTTTTTTGTACTTTGTACTTTGTACTTTTGGTGAAAAATAAATGTAGCGAAGTTGAATACTTTAGTTGTATTTTGCTCAAGTAAAAGTACAACAATTTAATTATACTCAAGAAAGTAGAAAATTTTTAAAAATGTACTCAAGTACTGTAACGAAAGTATTTGTAATGAGTTACTTTCCACTTATATTTGTATAGCGCTTTATACAATACTGGTATTGCTTGTCAATAATGCAAGAAGTCAATAACAGAGTAATTTTTCAGCTAAAGTCAGTTCATTGATGATTCAGTGATGTCATCATCCAGTTCAGTTCTCTTCCAATAGTGACTGTGCAATCAGTCAAGCATCCCCAACTAAGCAAGCCAAAGGCGACAGTGGCAAGGAACCAAAACTCCATTGATGACAGAAATGGAGAAAAAACCTTGAGAGAAACCAGGCTCAGTAGGGGGGCCAGTTCTCCTCTGGCCAGACGAAACCAGCATGGCGTGGTTTAATTCCAGGCTGCAACACAGGTGAAGAGGTCTTGTCTGGTTCCCGTGGTCTTGTGCCGATGGTCGTCGAGGTGATGAGGTCGTCATAGGGGATCTGTCTCTGGGACGCATCTAGTTGACGTGGTCTCCGCTGACATTCAGGGCTGTAGAGGTCGTCTCTAGGTGCTGATCCACCATCTGGACTGGATACGGACTGGATCTGGGTGGCTACGGTCACCGTCTGATCTGGATACAGACTGGATCCGAATGGCTACAATGACCTCGGAATACGAAAGAAAGAGACTAATATTAGTGTAGATGCCATTCTTTTTACATCAAGCGTAGCGTTAGTTCTGGCAGGTCACGTTAGTCAAGCTTGCATCAGCTGACTCTCAGCTGATCCCCATCTACCTATGGGAATACGACACCTATCTAAGCATTCATATATAGTCCCTCAGTATTATCAGCAGTTTTTCACATTGCTCAATAGCTAATTAAATGGCGCATTCGGCTGGCAAAACACCATCATCACTAGGACTCTGGAATTTAGAGGAGTGGAATTCGTTTCCCCAATGGTCTCACCCTCTGATTCATTCAAGTTTGTTAACTTGAACACGTGAATTCACCGCATTCATCATAAGCTGAAACATAAGTGAGTTAGCATTACTTCACGCATCTCTACATTATTGTCATGGACTCCACGAGTTATGTGACTGACTCAAGAACAAGTTCAGATGGGAACTTCATCCCCAAGAAGGATATCAAGAGATCAAGCATCCACTTCACAACTGCTATGTTTCACTCTCTCGAACGTCTTCACAAGCTAAGTTCCATTTAATGCTCTCAGGTTACCTGCAACATGCATGTTGCTAAGGCTATCCGTGTTGTTTAGGCTCATTTAGTTGTTTTCAGTTAAATGCTTGTGCTAGTTTATGCGAATGTGCGGTGCTTATCGGTTGCCACTGGGAACACGCTTGTCGCTGCAATATGCTGCGCTTAAAGGAGTTATTTACACTGTTAAGAGTTAGATTTCCATGTGCGCGCGCACTCAGCGACCCAAGCGAGAGCAAGAGCGTGCCGCTTAACGCGTTTTTTCCATGGTTACGGAAGTCATCGGCAGCGCTGCAGTTACTTGCTCGAGAAGACTAGGATGTTCGAGAGGAACTACACTAGCCTGCCTCCGGCTGGAGAGAGTATCCGCTTGCTCCTGCTAATGACGCTCTCGCAGTGTTTGCATACTCTTATCACAGATGAAGTGAATTAAATGCAATATTTGTCAAATACACAGACGTTTCAGAAACGTTTTCATAAAGCAACAGAAACACTTTTATATACTGCTTAATACAGCGCCATCAGTTCATGAATAAGTTCAACATTAGCATTTGCTATTTAAATACCAATAAAGCGGGGGTATATATGCTTTTATCAGTGTTTTTTGAAGCGTGACTCAATATAACAGTGTGACTACACTAAAAATGCTTTTACTGTTATAAAAACCTTTGAGATTTTGCTATCAGTTTGTGTTGGGGGATATCAGCATATGGTTTTGTTTTGGGGTTGTTATTGCTGCTCTCCCTGCTCTCATCCATGCTAGGCTGCATGGATGCGCAGGGAGTTCTTGCCCAGAACAGAACCATACCGCCAATAACTGTATGCTAATTGTCAATCATCTTTGAAGATAGTGGTCCTGACAGAAATGCCCTATAAACAATTGATATTATGGGGGAGGGGTCAAGCAATGCAAGCAACGAACAAACTGTGCATAAGAGTTATGACAGTCAGTCAATTCACTATAGAGAAAGTGAAAGCATTAGGTCATCTGTTTAAGGCAACAGAATTGTTGCTACAGGTTATGCGGGTTTTGGCAACATATTTGATTGGCCATTGGTTAAGGGCAACATGCTTGTTGCTTAAGGCTTTGAGATTTTGCTATCAGTTTGTGTTGGGGGATATCAGCATATGGTTTTGTTTTGGGGTTGTTATTGCTGCTCTCCCTGCTCTCATCCATGCTAGGCTGCATGGATGCGCAGGGAGTTCTTGCCCAGAACAGAACCATACCGCCAATCCAAACTGTATGCTAATTGTCAAGCATCTTTGACGATAGTGGTCCTGACAGAAATGCCCTATAAACAATTGATATTATGGGGGAGGGGTCAAGCAATGCAAGCAATGAACAAACTGTGCATAAGAGTTGTGACAGTCAGTCAATTCACTATAGAGAAAGTGAAAGTAAAAAAACTGACGGAGCTTTCTAACGCTGCATTAACGGCGCATATTCTCTGAGACAATGAGAGACGAAACTACTTCAACATATGGCGCTACAGAGCACTGACCACCAGAACAGCCAGGCACAAGAACAGTTTTTTCCCACAGGCTATATTCAGTCTTAACAATTAATCTTTCATAATTATACATCGTCCATCACAACTAACATAGTATATTTATATTAAACTGCACACTTTGTAAATAACATATCTGCACACTAATAAACATATCTGTACATTTATCGAAACAATTAAATTTTTTCCTATACTTCTATTTCTGTATATAGTACATTATTAAATTTTTCTTTTTTTTTTATTATATTAGTTTTATATTACATCCCTACTGTGTTATTCCTATGTATGTCTACACTATCATGTATGTCTGCACTATGTT